GGGAGAGAGAGAGAGAGGAGAGAGAAATAGCCTCAGCAGCTCACCAAAGAGGATGGTAAGAGAGGTGTGTGTAGAATCTTTTTCCTCTCAGTGTTAGGTGTGACAGTGTTGTTAACTCTGCAGCTGAGGGAGGAAGGTTGTCCATGACTGCTCTAGTGTTTCCAGCAGAGCATGAGCAGCTCAGTGGTGCAGCGACCAGGAGACAATAAGGAGGTGTAAGGAAAGAGGCACCGTTCATACTGATTTGTTCTCTTCTCATCCAAAACAGCAAGCCTAGACTTTTCTCCTCACACGGCTCTCTGTCTGTTGTGGACAAACACCATTTTGTGGGCAATGGGCTTCAGGTAATGGTTCGTCCACTTAAAACACTAAAGGTGAATGAGATTTGGGTTCTCTACACGGTTTCACTAGCAGAAATACAGCACTTTCTAGAACAGAAATGGTACATTTTACACACTTGCTCTTTAGAAAAATAGAATTTCCCAACATACTAAACACTTTTTCCCTCTTTTCCATTTATTTTTCAAAAACAGTAAAAGATGAACTAAGTGCTTAGTAAGAGTAACATCATTTGACTTTCATTTTCACATAAGAAAATCTAACTTGCACTGACATTAAATTGTGACTCTGCATTTACCTCTAATTTTTTTTTATAGGGAATCAAGTTTTTAACAAAAAACCTCTTCCACGATCTTTGTCTAACTCTTTCAGAATCTACTATGGAGGGCAAGAAAGACCAAAAATATGTTCATCATTCATTTTAGTCAGCAGACAAATTATTACTTTATAAGACTTGGGAACACAGGATTGGAATGCCATCAACCAAAATAGATGCTTCAGGAACCTGAGGCACAAGAAAGTGAAATTATGGTATAAATTCTGTTTAAACTTTGAACCTGTTAGAATATTTAGAACTTGTGCTAAAGATTAGAAAGCATGTGTTTGCCAATTCATGGGCAACTTCCTAAGTGTTTAGTGGGAATCTAATTGTTGATCACATAATTTTACCATTCCCATTCACCACGCAGATCCCCGACTCTTTGCTCGCATTTGTATGTATGTAGGGTCCCTCGGGTCCCAGCTCAATGTCCTCTTGACTTTCTCTTCTACCCCTTGCTCCATATTTCAGATGCACTATCTCTGTCTCATTAAATGACTACCTCTGTCACCCAAACTTGAAGTCATCATCATTGGATGGTCCATAATACAAGTCAGATTATTTGTATCTTAAAGACTACCACAATATTTGCCACATCGTGTTCAAAACCTGCATCAGATACAGTCCATGGCTTCTACAAGATCAGTTTTCCCATCATCTCTGTTAACAAACTCTTCCATTTTCTAGATAGAAAGTGCTCTTTTTCATTGAGGGGAGAGAAAAGTTCTTGCTAAGCCAATGGAAGCCCCATTTCCCTTCAGTCAGTGTTGGGTTCTATGGTGTGTTCCCCAGGGTTCTGGTTCCTCCAAGGGGTGGGGCCTGCTGCAGAGAATGGACTATGTGGAGTGAGCCATGGAAGGAATGGCTTATGGTGCCATCTTGGGACAGAAGCAGGGAGCTGCGAGTAAGGGGGGGACCCAACACCGTGGGGAACACACAGCTGCTGGTTGTACTCAAGGACAGAATGGCCTGACTCTTATGGACCTGGGGTGAGACTGCTGGCCCTTGAGGCATGGGAAAATGCTAGAGGTGACTATGGCCATGCAGCAGGAGGGATGTGGTATGGTGGGCTCTGAGCTGTGGCACAGAGCAGGGCTGCCCGGAGCTGAGTGGTGCAGAGCTAGGCACTGGGTGTTCCTTTCGTTGTAAGTCACTCTCCTCCCTCCCCCATGATAATAATGTGTTCATAAAAATATGTTATATGGTTTGCCTGATAGTGCAAGAGACCCCAAGAGAATTCTGGCAACATATGGGTATGTTTCTCAGTTCAGACCAACTAAATGAAAGAAGAGAGTCTACTGGGGCGTGATGCCCCAAACTGTGGTCATCAGCTCCTGGTTGTGAAAACAATCTTCAAGGACAACAGAACAGGGGCATAAGGAAAGACAGTTCCTAAGATGTCCATGGCATCCTGGAACAGATGCAAAATACCTGTAGCTGTGGACTTCCAGAATCAGTGGCCAGGAAGTGAGAAATCTATCACTGGGTAAATCACGGTTGGCTTATGCTTTAGGATGGAAGCACTTCCAGTGAACACATAAGGCACTTTAGATCATCATTTACATTAGTGGATTCTCCAATCAATTTTCCCCTCGTCTTCACACTAAACACATTTTGTTGTGGCCCACAGATTTTCAGGTTTTCATCCAGAAAGTAGGCATTTTTCTTTTCCCTCATCCTGGCTCTCCTTCAGTAATTACCATCTTTCTTTAAAATTTTTTTATTGAGCTTTTATATTTTCACCATGTATCATGGAATACATGAAATCCAGTGGGGGGATGGGGAAGACATGGATGGGAGAGGGAGTCTAAATTTGATTAAGAAATGTTGTATGAAAATACAAAAGCTCAATAATTGTCATCTTATCTACCACCAAAGCTCCTGTTTATTCCTTCCCAAACTCAAAATTCCTCAGGAAGAATTAACCAATTTTTATTTCACATATTATTTTATATGTTAACCTGACCAATCTAAGGGATCTACAGATAACTGGTAAATCATTATTTTTAACTGTGTCTGTAAGGGAGCTTCTAGAAGGGTAAATCTATAAATCAAAAGATCCAACAGAGAAAATAACTGTCACCAATGGGAATGAGCACCATGCTCTCCAGTGAGGCCTAAAGAGAGCCAAAAAGAGGAGGAAGGACAAATCCCTCTCTCTTTTTGAGCTGGAACACATCCCCTTCCACCCTTGGACATGGCCACTGTGCTTTTGAAATCTCTGGACTCAGACTGTGACTTGGACCACTGACACTCTATTTGAATATCCTTATGCCACAGACTTTCCACTAGCAAATAGCAGGTCTGGAGCTTAAAGCTTCCACAATGATGGGAGGTTATCCCTCACAATACATTTCTCCCAGTACATACCTATTATTGGTTCTTTTCCTCTGGATAACCCTGAAAGAAATAAACATTATAGTGCAATTATCTACTTGTCTTTTTTTATTATTTACTTATTTTATGTGTATGAGTGTATTTCCTACATGTGTGTTAGTGCACCCGTGTTGTACAGTACCCACAGAGGACAGAAGATGGTGTCAGATCTCCTAAATGGAGTCACAGACAGTTGTTAGCTGCCATGTGAGTGCTGGGATTTGAACTTGGGTCTTCTGCAAGAGCAGGCAGTGCTCTTAACTGCTGACCATCTCTCCAGCCCTACTTATCGGTCTTTTAAAATACCTAATATAATAATCTTTTATTCATCAGTATGCTCTCTGGTCCTAGAATTTTGGTTGTAACCTCATAAGTACTCAAATAATACTCCAGATTTTTGTAAATATACCTAATACATTATTCATATATTTTAGGTAGGAATAGTACAAGTTTAGAAGCTTCTGTGAAAAAAAATGATAAACTTCAAATAACTTATTAGCTCCATTTGATAACTAATATTACCATTAATTATTCACAATTTTTGGACAGAATATACAAATATCTCCCTCTTATCACTACCCTGATTTACTTTCTGTTGCTATGGCAAAATCCTGACCAAAGCAACTTTGAAGAAAAGTATTTTTTTTAATATTTTATTTATTATTTTTATTTTATGTGTATGTGTGTATTGCCTGTACGTAGGTAAGTGCACCCGTGTCATGCAATGGCCACGAAGGACAGAAGAGGCTGTTGGATCCCCTGGTACTGGAGTTATGGACAGTTGTTAGCTGCCATGTGGGTGCTGGGATTCAAACCTAGGTCTTCTGCAAAAACAACCAGTGTTCTTAACTGCTGAGCCATCTCTCCAGCCCCAGGGTGTTTGGTTTTGTTTTGTTTGTTTTGCTTTAAGCTCAATTCCAATTGCAGATGCAGTTCTTTGTTGTGGGGAAGTCACAGTAGCAGCAGGTTGAAGTAGCTAGTCACATCCACCATCAAGAACAGAGACAAAGTGAATGCAGGAATAGTTACCATTCAGCTCATTTCCCCACTCATATACAGTCCAGGAATCAAATCCAGGAATGGTGATACCCACAATGAGCTGGGCTTTCCCACATCAACTAATGTATCATATCCACTTATAACAATTATTTTGCTATAAAATACTTTTTAAATTTCTGACAAATTTGTGCTTTCTTTTTCCAGATTTGAACTTTTGCTGTAAAGTTAACTTTTCACAGTATAGATGGCACGACTTCATCACCAAATCAACATTGTGTTCTAACTTCGAGAAGCTATGGCTGGGTCTTTTTCCAGTAACATCCCTCCCCAAGTACAGACACCATTCACCAAATGTATCTGATGTCTGTCAATCCAGAGAAACCGTTGGTTAAATTCATGTAAATTGCTTTCCAAGATGAATATCAAAGTTGAAAAGAACATGAAAGGATTGGTCTTTTCTTCAGAGTCCTAACACTTATAGAACAGCAATCTGAAAACTACAGGAGCTTCCTTGATTATTCATTGTTTATATCAATTGACAGCTCTCTGTGAGCCCAACAAGCAGAGGAATCACTTCAAAGCAAACATATGCTGCTTGTTAAAACTGATGTTTAATGACACTTATCTATAAACCATGTAGGACTGCATTGCAGATTTTAATATCTCAACAAGTGAAATTGAAAGGTACATTAAAGTTTCCTCTTTTGCTTTATATTTGAGAACCTAGCATCATGCCCAGTGACTATTTAGCTCAACTCTTCAGATTCCTCAGAATAACTTTTCACTGTCTTCAGATCATCATAGTTACATTTTTATCTTCAGTTTTACTTTTGTTCAAATTTTACCAGTTGCTAAAATCATTTTTGAAGCAAATGAAACATAAACACTAAATCACTCAAATTTTTAAAAATGTTTATAGCTAAGGCCTGTATGAAGCCATCTCCTGGAAGGCCAAGGTTCTTCTTACCTGAACTGTGGTTTCCTGCCAACAAGGTAGGGCTCACAGAACATCTGCCCATTCTGCTGGTGACCACAGGTGGCCCTGGTGTTCCATCCCATTCCTGAGCTTTCACTGGCTCCCTGGAAGAAGATGCCCCGTGGTGACCCCTCTCTTTGCTGTCCAGCTTTGGTAATGGCTCCGTGCTGTGGCTTCGGACTTTCAGTTCCTCTGTGGATTCTGTGTATTAACCAAATTAATTATGTTAAATAAGGGTTAAATCCCCCCACCCAAATCACTTTTTAAAAACTCGAGTATCTTTTCTAAAATACTTGTAAGGTATTACTGAAAACTTAGATTTCTGTTAGAGTCTACAACATTTAAAATAGAAAAGAGAAATGAACTTTTCTTTCTTTTGTTTCCCCCTGAAGTGGTTGGGTTAATATCACCAGTAAGCAAATAGTTCTGTCTTGGAAAAGAATACCTCAGTGAATCTTGCACCTTCTAAATAAGTACCCCTTTGGACTCAGCTTTCGGAGAGTCTCTTAAAGAACATGCTGTGTTCCTTCCTGCCTTTTCACGCTCCTTCATTACTCACTGTGACATGAATTCAACCCAGTCATTCTTCTTGCACTGCTTTTTCTAAGAAAATGTAGTGGCTTTTAGTAGTTCACATACTTATGATGGTCTCAGTGACTGGCAAATCTTCCACTACCTGTTTGGGTTATGCATACATTCAGTTCTTTTGGCTTCAGGGATCATTCCTTTTTCTGCCATAAGTCAAGCACCTTTTCATTCACACCTCCTCCTCTTCTGCACACCTGTGCACACTGCTCACCTGTAAGGCACTTAGCTGAGCCACTGTCCCTACCGTTCACTATGTGCTCTCCGTGTGATTTTAATCTTCTGGTTTCAATAAAACATCTAATTCTTAATGATTTCTTAATTATTTTACCAGAACGCTAGTCCACCCTCTTTAACTTTAGATTCATTTATCCAATGAATACCTCATAAATAGCACAAATTTAACCATTTCAGGTACTGAACAGACAATATTTTTCACTAAACTAATGACTGCTCCGATCCTGCCATCCATTCATGCTAAAAGCTTGTCTGTCTCTTTTTTTTTTTAATTGCTATACCACAAATTAACCAGTCAGAAGGTCCTTCACTTTATTTCTGAGCATTTGGCTCACCCTTCTCTTCTACTTGGTATCAAGCCTGCCTCAAAGGCTCTGGTTCAAGCTTTAACCATGTCTCTGGGTTACTGCAACCTTTGTCCTTGTCCTTGGCACCCCAAAGTACAAGTCTTTTATTTTGATATTTTATTTATTATTTTTATTTTATATGTATGAGTGTATTGCCTGCATGCATGTAAGTGTACTTGTGTTATGAAATACCTATGGAGGCCGGAAGATAACATCAGATCCAGTGGAAATGTTGTGGAAACTTCTGGAAATCAGGAGACCAACAGCTGGTCCAGGTGAAAGATTGAGAATTTATTCACGCCTGTCAGATCACTCCCTAATAGCAGCAGCCCCCAGTACAAGTTTTTAGGGAAATTTATAGTCAACTCATGCAGTTTAAGCAAGCAAACCATATATATGTGGTAATTAAGCAACTGGTTACACGTAAACGTGGTTACAAAGGAACACAAGAATGTAATCGTTTGGCACACAAAGATTTCAATGGTCAAGTTAAAACAAAACAAAACAAACAAAACAAAGCACTCTGAAGGGGCCGAAGGCAGATTCCTGTTTACCTTCCTTATTCTTTTCTTATTTCTCCCAGTCTTATCTTGGCCCCTTCCAAGGTCCAAAGTTCTTAACAACCACCTTATTGTTGATAAGTTGCCATCACAGAAATGGAGCGTCAGATGGTTAAATGGAGCTTAGCCGCCATGTGGTTACTGGAATTCAAACCTGGGTTCTCTGCAAGAGCAGCCAATGATCTTAACTGCTGAGCCATCTCTACAGTCCCCCAAGGTACAAGTCTTTTTGTCTATTTTAAATGAAAACATGATCATAATGAACTCTTGACAAAAATACTTTGAGGATCATCCTGTTAACACAAAATATCTGAGCTCTTTATCCATACTGAGCTTCCTTTTGTCTCTAACTTCCTCATTCTCTAATAATCCAAGGAACAATATCAACATGGTTGTAGTTTCTGTCTCCTTACACCACCCCTGAGAAAAACAATGTTACCTTCTACAACTACTGCTGTCCTACTCTGAATACCCTTAAATCTTGTCTTTCCTTAACTAAATCTACTCAACTGTGGTGACTCAATTTCCATGTCATTTGAAGCTCACCCTTGTGACCATCCCCTCCAGTCATCTGTACACTCACAGTATGCTATCTTTCCACATGTCGACTTTGCCTGAAAGTCTTAGAAATCCTGTGTTTGGGATTTTATTTTTCTAGATCTGGTGCCCCTTACTTGTACCAAACATGCAGTTTAATAAATATTTCACTTATTTAATTTATTTAGTAGGTTTGTCAAGTCTTCAAACACCTTCCTACTATGTGCAGGAATAATGATATTTCTAACGGAACCAGAGAATTGGGTGGCAATGAGTTGGCTGCAGTGGAATGCACTTGGTAGTATTTTAAGACATCTGATAATAACAAACTGTAAAATTCACCAAATTAGAGGTTTAATTCATATAAAGATTATTTTGGGGATAGACACTTTTTTAAGAAATAATTCAAAGAATCTGTATTTTGCCTTTTCTTTCAATTTAGGTTCAAACGCTCATCAGCTTTCAACAGGGTTAAAACACAGATGCTTTACTTGGTTCTTTATTATTTTGCTGTACAGGAAAAAAATAACAGGCTGTTACATACTGAACAGTCTTGGTGAAGGGTCTCAGGGCCTCACAGGGCTCCACTTGGCAAATTAAATTTACACAATATTCACAGACAGAAAGAGGAAGTAACAAACAGAAATAACCCAGTTGGTTAAAAATTCCTGCTTCAGAAGCATCCTGATAGTTGCAGCCTGTGATTGGTTACTGTGACTGTCCAAGACTATGCTGCTCCTTACAAGGAGAGGCTGCTGAGCTAGGTTGCAGCTTGTTTACACACTGAGTTAGATTACACGGAAGCAGCTTTAGGCCAGATTTAATTTCACATTTTTCCCCACTCTGTTCTATCCCTCTGTCTACTATGAGTCTCTGCCAAATGAAAGTCCTGAATAAATTGCCTTTTCTGTTCTCATTTGTCTGATCTTTTATTCTCACGTTGCTGTACTCTCTCCCAGCTAAAGATGCCACGCAGTTGGATAAATACTCGTGAAGAACAGTATTTTATGAGATGAACTTAAACCAGGAAGGTAGTTCAATAGCAGTCTCAGAGAGATTTTAGGTCTCTAAATGGACCTGCTTATAAACTTAAGTCGTAGTTACACTGAAATCAAATATAAGCAGTCAAAATATTTTAAAGATAATATATTATAGCGTAATCATTAGAGCAAGAAAACTTATCCAACACTTCCCATTCAGTACGTGAGCCATAGAAGAAACAAGGAGAAATCAAGCCGGTACTGATTTCAAAGCTTCATCCAGAAGGTACCATGCATGGTACTTGGTGAAAAAAATTAATCATTAACCTTACCCAGCTGTGACTCTTGCATGCTTCAGTAACAACTATTCTGCCAAGCTATGATTTCAGGTACAATAATGGCATGAATATTATCTGAGTAAACAATCACTTTCTAATTGAATTAAAGATCCACTTCATAAGATGGAGCCCATATCTGACATTCAGAGCAGGCCTAGGAATATGTGGCTAGAAAGGCCACAGGCCATAGGGGAGAGGCTAATACTATTATGCAAAGTAGATATAATGTTAAAGTGACTTCTAATGATTTATCGTTATAGCCATAGATGCATGCATCTCTCTCAGCAGAGAAGCTCCTTATGCAACAGATGGTGGTGAGCACAGAAATCCAAAACTGACAATGTGCAGAGAACAAGAATCTGCAGAGTGTTTATCCCTGAATTGGACACTTATATCAGACACCTATATCAAAGGCTCAGGAATCATTGCTGACAAGGTGGCAGAAAGGTTGTAAGAGCCAGAGGTGGTGGAAGACCACAGGAAGCAGGGTTTTCCAAACAGCTGAGAAGATACTCATATGAGCTCACAGCAATGGCGACAGCATGTAAAAATCCCACATACGCCCAAGCTGAAAATCTTTCCAGGGATATGGGAAAGTGGGTAAGAAACCCCAAGTACCCAAAGAGCTATTGGAAACTGATGGCTGCTGGGAAGGGTATAGCTGTTGATAGGTACAACCAGGCTCCAGTGAATGGCTCCACCCTGAAGGACATTTGGGAACACAATGTCCCAATGTCTATATATACAATTTCATATATATATATATATATGAAATTGAGGTGGGGTAATAAGGGGGTAGAGAACGAAATATAATCAAAATATATTGAATGAAATTTGCAATAATTCATTTACTGAAAGGGCTGGAGAGCTGGTTGAGTGGCTAAGAGCACATGCTGCTCTTGGAAGGACCCTTATCAGGCAGCTTACAACCTTCTGAAACTCCAGTTCCAGGGAGTTTACTTCCCTCTTCTGGTCTCTGTGGGCACTGCATGCACACACATATACATGGTGTACTTATGTACATACACACAAAATACACAAAAAGTCAAAATAAATCTTAGAAAAAGAAATAATGAAAGTTCAAAGAAAACTATTCAGGGGACTAAAGGCAGAATTATTCGTATTCAAATACTGTGATATTGTTTTAAAGTCATTTGAGGCCAAAATTGATTTTAGTGACATAAACTGCCCAGTAGATCCATTTTATGTACTATAGGGAATACAGGGAAACTTTCTGTGGAATCAGTGTCTCAGAGTTCACAGTGGAAGTCCCCACTTGTAGCACACAGTTCCAAAAGCATAGACTGTGTTCCGTACATCCTATTCATCAAATAAATGACTGAGTCAATGATTATTATTGCTCTAAGTCAGATACATTGAAATCCGACCTTAAAAAGAGCTCTTGGGAGAGAACATGCCATATTGTTTTAAATTTTCTTTTCAGACTATGCGTTTTATATATTACTGTTTTAAATTTCCTACAGTATAGTACCTAAACAGCAACAAAAAATAAGAGATCAAAGGCTCTATCTTTCCATAACCAGACATCCTTTCCAGCACTATCTTACCTCATGCACCTAACTGTGCAGTTCTTATTCAAAGTTTCCCTTGAGCCTT